GAAGGCAGGCCTTTCCTGCTCAGTTTAATCTCCTTCCGCACTTCTTTGTTGTAAAGTCACTTTTGTAAAGCTCTGAATGAAATGGAGAGGCTTGGAGAAAATCTGTATTAAACTGGGGATTTTTGTATTACTCTGAACATTTCGTTCTTTATTGCTGCATCCAGAGGGCTTGGAGCGCTTCGTAAACCTCGCTGATCTGATCTCCAGGTCCTCTGTGAGGGAGGGATTGTCGTGCCTATTTCACAGCTGGGGAAACTGAGGCGCAGAAAGGTGACTTGACCCAAGTTGCAATGGGGGAGGTCTAGGTTGGATATTAGGAAACACTATTTCACTAGGAAGGTGGTGGAATTTCCATCCTTAAAAACCTCTAAGGCCCAGCTTGACAAAGCCCTGGCTGGGATGATTTAGTTGGGGATTGGTCCTCCTTTGAGCAGGGGATTGGACTAGATGACCTCCTGAGGTCCCTTCCAACCCTGATATTCTATGATTGTGCAGGAAATGGGTGGCAGAATTTCAGACCAAATCTGGTAATCTAACAGTGACAAGGCTGTAGAGAGGAAGCATGGTCCAGTGGTTAGGGAGCCAACTAGAGACCTGGGTTAAAGTTCCTGCTCTGCCACAGATTTCCTCTGTGACCTTGGGCAAGTCACTTAATTGCTCTGTGCCTCAGTTTCCCATCTGTAAAACAGACTGCGAGGGTCAGTCCGTTACCGATCATGCAGCGCTCGGAAACTCTGGGGAGGGGGACCGAGTACATACGTCAGATAGATGCTTGGCATAGGGAGCGGCGCAGCTGGAGAGAGGGGCTTGCGAAGAGCTCCAGAGGATGCCAACAGCCAGCCAACCTTGTTGCAGCAGCCCCCTGGGCTGAGCTACAGAAGGAAACTGACTACAGTGGATGACGGCTGAACTACAGCAGGGTGAGTAACCCTACGAATCTCCATCTGGTATCAGCCACGGCGGCCTCTGCTCTCCGTGCAGTGCAGCGTGATGGCAATTTGTACTTATGCTCTCAGGGAGTGGGGTTTTCACTTTCCCAAATCTGCCCATTGTGAGGCATTGAAACAACCCCGTGGCTTGTCTGCCACCTTGGTACGCGCTGCTCCCTGGGAGCTGCCTACATGGCAGTGGTGTGAGATCCCTGCTCGAGGCACACCTCTGATCCTGGGCCTGGCTTGGTCACTGATGGCAGCGTAAGGAATGTAGCGGGAAGGCTCGGTGATGTGAACCGGCTGTTTGAAAGGGATGCCCGGCATTCTGCACTCAGGGCCTCTGCTCATGGGCATGGAATGGGCTGGTGCAGAAAAAAGATCTCATAGAAGGGCCTTGATTGTGACTGGAGCAAATTGGATGCAGGTTGTCAGGGCAGTGCCACTTGCTTCCCATGCACCAGGCCTATCCTATACCCTAACTCCAGCCTCCTCCCTCCCTGCAGGACTTGACCTGTCTGGTTCCTCGCTCCCAGGTGGCACCACGGGGCTGCTCGTCAGACTCTCAGCTCAGGTAAATGGAACCCACATCCTGTCTCCTGAGGGGGCTTAGGCCCCGGAGGCTCGCTCCCAGTTGGAATATGTATGGCTTACGCCAAAGGGAGGACAAAGAAAGAGGCGGCTGGATCGCTACACAACAGTGGAGGGCATTATTGGTATTCCAGTAACATCCACAGGCCCCAGCCAAGGTCAGGGCTCCATTGTGCTTGACCCTCTACAAACCCAGTAAGAGACACTCTGCCCCAGGTAGCATCCAGTCCAAATAGACGAGACAGGGTGGGAAACGGGGCACAGACAGGTGGAAATAGAACCCAGGTTTCCTGACTGTGGTGCCAATGCTCCGTCCACTCAACCACACACTCTCCTGCCCTCAGGCTGAATGACTCTTCCTCAGCTGTACTCACCCTGCAGTTCAGTTTCTGGGGCTCTCTGGGCCCAGCGTCGGGGACACCTGTTTATGTTGCTCCCCCTCCGTTTCCTTGCTGGGCCCTTCCAAGTATTCAGTTGTGGGGACTTCCTTGCTCGCCAGCCAGGACTGAGCGTGGGGAGAAACGAATGCCTCCTTTGTCAGCAGTGCGCTCTGTGGAGGTGATGCACACAAGGAGGGAGGAGGGAGTGTTTCTGGGCTTGTCTGTGTGTGGAAGTTACTCCAAGGTAGGGTGTGAATTGAATGTGCTGTAGCTATTCTGGAGTAAGAAGTTCCACATGGAGAGCTATTCCAGAATAGCAATAGTAGAATCCTTATTCTGGAATAACTATACTGGCCAATTTCCCTGTGTAGACAAGCCCTTAGAGTTTTCCAGCTATCTGGCTATTCTGGTTCAGGGCTGCAATCACACTTGTAATACTTTTCCCAATGCATAAGCTTTGCTGTAATGAAGCACTGTGACCATTAGGTGGCAGTGCAACCCACAGCCAATGTAGGATGGATTATAGCTCAAAACTCTCGGTGGTAGTTGGGACGGGAAAGGCCGATTAGACCCAGTCTGTTCCCTTTGCAAGGGCAGAACGTGGTCCACAAACAGAGGACCCGTTGTGCTATTTGGCTGCGAGGTGTCCGCCTCCACCATTTATAATGGTATTGAATAGATAAAGTGTTTTTAATTTAGAAGGGGAGGTCGCACTCAGAGCCTTGCTATTTGAAAGGGATCACCAGTAAAAAAAAGTTTGAGAACCACGGCCCTAGGGGAAACTGGAGGCGTTGTATTTCCTGTGACTTCTGAGAAGCCCCAGTGGCCTCTTGGAATTGATTTGATATAAGGTAGTGTCTAAATTGGAGCTAGCAACTTTTGGCCTGATCCTTCTCATGCTTACACCAGTCGTTACTCCAAGGGTACCCTGGCTTTATCTCAGTAAGAGGAGTCTTTGGCCCCTCCTGTTTCAAACATATTCAACATGCAGCCCCCTCCCTCCCTATGAGGCAGTAACCTGGCTCAAGAAGCTGCTGGGAGACTGAAATACAAGATGCACTGGCTGAAATCTACTGAGTGGGTAGAGGAGGAATTGCATCTTCTTTCTTTGAGGAAAGAAGAACTCTAGAAAGAGATACCTGAGCCTTTCCTCTTATCTTCACAGTGGCATCACTTCCAGCCATTGTCATCAACAGCTGCCTGGCTCTGTCACCTGGACCCGACCCAGCACTATTGAGGAAGATACCGACGGACTAGGGAGTCGTCTTGCTGAGTAGGTTAAAGCTGAATTGTGTTATCTGGCATTCAATCACCTCTGGGTATAGGCAGCAATAGAATGGGTGACCATGTGAGATGGTAAAGCTTTTGCCTTGACTGGTTCAAGTCCAGCCCATGCTGGAAGGGATGCAAAGTGACTACCAGTTGACTGTTGTTGGCTAGCCTACAAAAAGTGAGTTGGAGGGTTTATGTTACAGATTTCACTGGAAAATGGCTTGACTAAACAAGTGTTTGTGAGAAAAATTCCGTGTGTCAAAATAGGGGGGGGAAAAAATCAGTTTGAGAGGGTTTTTTTTTTGATAACCTGAAATTTAAAAAGAATGTAGTATTAAAATGGGGGGATTCCCACCCTGCATGACCATGGAGAATGAACTTTCAGTCCTAGCAGAAAAGGGAGATCAAGCAAGGTTATGCTGGTTGCCTAGAGCTTCCAATGCTGCACAGCTCTGCTGTGTCTGTTGCATAAACAGAATGTTTCTTTCTAGGGCTGGTACCTTTCACCAGCATGAACCTATTCGGAGTAGTTTTAAACACGCAGGAGAGATTACACACACTAAAACTAGAGCCACTGCTCTTCAGTATCGGAAACATTTATTTACGTTTTTGTAAGCTTTTTAGAAACATTGGAATAAGCGGATTACAGATAACCCCCCTCTTCTAAAAAGTATATAGGCACCATGTAAAATCCATTCTCCTATTCTTAATCTGTGCTTCTGAACTCTTCCATCAGCTCTTGTGAAGGGCAAGGTGCTGTGCTTAACAGACACAGTGAAATCGACTCGAAGAATTTCAAGTAGTTCAAGGTTCCCTATCTGCCTTTGAGCTCCCCTACCACTTTCTGGCCTTTTACGATCCATTCCCTCTCTTTTGCTTTGGTGGTGGTGGGCAAAAGGCCATACCTAGCAGCAACTATGAAACTGATCATACAAAGTGGTGGTGTCATAGCCAAAGTAAAACAGACATGTTTTTATCCCAATCTTTCAGTTACATTTATAACAAGAGTTGATACAAAACTTTCACACAGAAGTGATTACATTAATTAGCCCTGAACAGCTCACAGTAATTGACTACAATCATCTCCTCCAGAAGCTAGTGGGAAAACGGTAGTGGTCTTAGCTACCAGGCACTTAGTAACCTGTTTAAAGCACACAGCTTGCTAGGACTAGAGCCAGTGAAGGCTGCGTTGGGGGAAAGGGTGAGACTGGGGATGAATGTGGCTACCAGAGATCACTGCTAGACCCAAGACTTATCTTTTTATCTAAGCCTGAAAGAATTTGAGGGGAGGAGACTGGAAGAGGGGGCTGTGCCCCTGGCTCTCCATAGCCCTGGCTCTCCATAGCCCCACCCTTGCTCCTCCTAAATGCTGACCCCACCTGCCCCCTGGCCAGGCTGTGACTGCCCTTCAACTGCTCGCAGCCAGTAATAGCCACCACGCTGGGGGACCTAGCTCTGGGGCTAAGAGCCCTGGAACCCAGGCCAGAACAGGCAGCTGTGGGGAGCCCCAGACCCTCCACCTGCCCTGGACAGCGTGCCCCGATGGGCCAAGACACAGGGTCAGGAGCTGCTCTCAGGCCACTGCTGCTGGTGGCGCTGCCTTCAGAGCTAGCCCCCCAGCCACCAGCCACTGCTCTTCCCGCTGTGTCTTCAGACCTGGGTGGCTGGAGAGCAGCAGCTGCTACAGGGGGGGGGAGAGGCGATAGCCCCTGCTAGCTTCCCCCCATGCAGTGCAGCCCCTGCTCCCAGGT